CTGCTTCCCTATTTATTAATGGTCTGGCCCTCTAGCAACTTCAGCGCGAAATTATAGCTAATTATAGCTAATTTGCCTACAAACATAAGGTGGTCATAATAATCTGGCCACTCAGTGTATATTTGTCACTGTTAAAACATAGGAATAGTGTGCACACTGCATTTGCACAGTATTTCAAAAATCTCCTGCTGCATTTTGAAAATGACACACTGCGCACAGTTTTACAGCCCAAAAATCCACTTTTAATTGTATATACATCATAGAAAAAGAAGGAAAAGGAATAAATATTTTACTGACTCTATAGACTAGGGGTGCCCATTAGGTCGCTTGCGATCTACCAGTCGATTCGAAAAACGAACACTGATAGATCGCGATTGGCGGTGTCCTGTCCCCTTGCGGTGCCCATGCGCCTGCCGGCTGAATGTGTCAGGGGCCGCAGGCGGGAAGGGGCGGGACACCTCTCCCCGTGTGCAACGTCGGCCACATTCGGCCACACGAGCACCACGGGAGGAGAGGATGCTGTCTGCAAGAAGATTATGCTTCTAACCCTGAAAAAAATTAGCAGACCCTTGCAAAACTATACAGAAGTAAAAAATATCTCCCTCAACAAAATAAAACCTAAAACACTTAACCCCAAACACCAACCCTAAAACACTAACCCCAAAACCTACTTTTTTTTCCAGAAACAAAAAAAATTACAGAAAAAGCGACAGAAAAGAAGATAAAAAAAAGTAAAAAAAAAAACTGCAAAGGGGATTCAGCAGCCAAACGGCAACAGAAGTTGTGGCTGACACACACAAAAAGGTAGCCCAAAGAAGAACTGTTGTGTCTATGCATTGTGAAAAAAAGAGTGGTACACAATAATATATAACCCACCACAACGTAATTGACAATTCACAGTAATGTAGCACAATACAGCACGGTGCATACAGGGGAGGGGGGTACAATACACACTATGTAGTCCACCGCACTGCAGTCCACTATTATGTAACACAATACAGCACTATATATAGCACTGTATAGCTCTGTATAATGCACTGCAAAGCAATGTATAGGAGTAACTATCTCTCCCTGAACACCGGCCAACTGTTCCTATCTACATCAAGTCTTCATACACACGGACATAGGCTGCTGGCCGCAGGCTAACACTTATAGGGAGGGGGGTTGGCACATTAGAAACCCCAATGATTGGACCTTTTAAGCCACCTGACCACGGTTCAAAGGCCAGGAAGTGCATGATTGGTAATTAGTTGACATGACAATGAACAATCATAGTGAATTGACCAGCGACTGACTTGATTTCAGGTTAAACTCATGGTTAACCTGAACCCGAAGCATATCCTTAGTGTTTATCAGTCAAGTAAATGTGGACTCGAAACACATACATGCATGTCAGCTCACCCTAAAATCCAGGGAGTCACCCTATTTTTTACTCCACTCATCCTGTCTCCCTGCATGGTGTACAAGTGTTCCTTGATTACTTATAAGAAATACCTGACTCAGCAATTTTCCCTGCAAAAATTTCTAGGTGACACATATTTCGGTTACTGTTTCTAAAAGGCTGACAACATTGACAAAAGAACAATGCATAGCATTACCTATGGTATACATAGGATGTAATTCTCTGTATTTGTTCTGCATATGTAAACATGAGTCTTGTTCTGGTGACAGTCAGCCCGGCTCGCGGCAGGCGCCCCCTGCCATCTATGCGCCCGGGGCGAACGCCCCCCCCCCGGTTGTTACGCCACTGGAGACACCTAATGTCTTTCACTATGCTGGGAGTAATTTTTAGTATCTGTACTTATCCTCTAGATATGGGTACAGCACAGTGCCATTTTTCTTGGTATGCTGGGTGCACAGATGTGCGAACAGGGTGTGCTGGGTGTGCCTAATCGCCCTATGTGTAGGGTTGTCATCTGTCTAGGATTCATCCAGGCAGTCCAGGTTTTGAGCCCTGTATGTGCTGTGTCCGGGTTTCAGGTCAGAGCAGGTGGCCGGCAGTAGAGGTATCTGCAAACATAGCAAAGGTCAGAGCTGGTGCCAGACAGTAGAGGTATCTGTGAACATAGCAAAGGTCAGCAATGGATACAAACTAATCAGGTGCACTCGGTCAACAAGAAGCGCTATTACTAGCACAGAGGCACAGGCTGATAAGGTACAAATAAGGCACCTTCTTTGCCAAGGGCCAATCCCAGAGCCGGGAGGAATGTGCTGAGGCATCTTGACCAGCAACCAACAAGGGAACCCAGGAAAGTACAGCGCAGTTGAGTAAGTGTTGGGAGTAGCTGGAAGCCTGTGTTCCGTTGTCAAGCAACCAGGAAACAAGTATCCGCTGGGTAGAGAGAGCGATTATAGCAGACAGCAATGTCTGCCAGTGGACAGGTAAGTATGTTTGCTGCCTAATACCCATACACTTCTATAGGGCTGGTAAACGGATTGGCCCCTATCCATCTACTATTCCAATAAAAACCTATGGGGATGAACTGCGCATATGCAGATGTCGGATCAACAAACTGGTGAAGGGATGTAAACAATGCCACATGCCTTGGAATGGTATCTAGGTAAGCATAGGGATTGGTGGGGAAATGGGTAAGACCTAGGGAGTGAGGAAAACTTTGTGGGAACGTTTCCTTACCCTTTAAAGCAGAACCAGAGAAAATTATTGTTAACCTTTGCAGTGGGGCTACCCCCACACTGCAAGGGTTAACTGCTTGTTTTGGTCTATGACTGAAAATAACAAAGTTATACTCACCTGATCCTCCAAGCTGGCCAGCATTGACAGCATTCCCCTCAGCCTGTCTCCTACGCTGCAGCAATGGAATGCCCTCGGTGTCCTCACATTCTATACCCTGTATATAGAATGTGTTGGTTTTGGGGACCTTAGACTGCTGCAGTGGAGGGGGAGAGAGGCTCCAGGGACCGATCTAAGAGTAAGCCTGCTCAGAGGATCAGGTGAGCATGATTTTATTTTCCTTTCTAGACACAAATGAGCACTTAATCTTTGCAGTGTGGGGGTAGTCCCACTGCAAGGGTTAATAATACTACTTTGACACTGCAGTTGTCACACGTCGGCTCTATAGGTTGAGAACTGAGTGATCACATATCGCTGATCGCTCAGTTCCCGATCTTCTCCCTGCAGAGAGCTGTGACTTTTGGTCACCGCTCCCCACAGGGATTCCCCCCTCCCCTCTTTGTTCCTCCAGTGCTGACTGGAGGGACGGATGGGGAAGTGGGTGGGCACCGCTGGCTCTGCTTCTAGAGAATCAGGTGGCAGGGTGGATCCCCGACAATATTGTTGAGATCTTTCCTGGCCGCAGCGTGGAACTGCGCTGTCAGCATATCGCAGGCAATAGCCCGCTATATGCTGAGTTTTGGGTCACAGGAGGACATAGTAAATGTCCTAGTGTGACCTTAAAGAGAACTATGGCCAAAAAAGTTTGGGCCATAGTTTTCTTTTAGGCCCCTTTCACATGAGTGGTCCGATCAGGTCCGCCTGTCAGTTTTTCAGCCAGACCCGATCGGACGCTTTATGGGCAATCAGGTTTACACCTGGTTAGCTCCGGCTCTGGCTTGGTTCGGTAAAACAGAGGGATCATTGATCTGTTTCGACAGACTCGATTGTGCTTGACCGGAGCTAATCTGATGTAAATGAACACATGTCCGTTTACATCAGATCCCCCATAGAGTTGCATGGGGTCCGGCACTTTCATTTTTTTCCTCCACCCCAGATGGAGGGAAGAACTGTATGGACACGGATGTCACAGCGGTGACATCTGCACTACAAATCAGTGGCTTGCTGAATTTTTACTTCAAAGCAGGTGGGTGGATCACAGGTCCTCTTCAGCTGCAGGCCATATGCTTCTTCTCTACATGTTGGTAAATCCTGGGGGGAAATCAGCCACTCTGCTAGAGCAGTGCTCCCCAACCTTTTTATCGCCGCGGACCGGTCAACGTTTGATAATTTTACCGCGGCCCGCTGAGGGGGGGACGTTGATTGTTTATATTTTAGATTGGAATCACCTGTCCCGATTAAATGCATATTTCAAGTAGGACTCATGGTATTGTCTTTTAAAAGTTACATGTTTCTTTGATGTTGAAGGCCCTTCTTCTGTCTCTTCACTGGGCCTTTTCTTTTTCCCAAGGAAACTTTCTAACGACGTCTGTTTCGTACTAATTTTTGCTAATTTGTGGGTTAAATTTGAGCAAACACAATATACACGTACACCAAGCACTGTTAAACATGAGAAAGTACAGGTGAACAGAGAGAAGAGCGATACACACCTTCTCTTTACCAAAGCTACAACACCACTGCCGCTTGCAGCCGCTCAGCTCCAGACGTCGCCTAAAACCACCCCGATATCACGATATTTTGCGCATGTGCGGTATTGGTGCGGCTTTAGGTGACGTCTCTCAGCTCCCGGTTAACCTCTCGTCCTGGAAAGTCGGACAAACCCGAGAGAAATACACCACAGTAAATAAAATGGAAATAATTTAATGTTCCTTGGGCGGCCTGGTACCATTTGATCCACGGACTGGTACCGGTCCGCGGGCCTGGGGGTTGGGGACCACTGTGCTAGAGGATAGAAGCCGCTGCAATAACGGTAGTCTTGTTGAGCAAAAAAAACAAAAACCCACTGATCCACTGCTGAAAAGAAGAGACTGTAAACAAACATAAATAAGCATGCATGAAATTGTGGCTATGTGGTGATAACATTTGATCACTGAATAACATTTTAAGGTTAAACACTATTGCTGTAAAAGAGCAGCCTTGAACTTTCTGATACACAGCAAGGCCAATCCTACTTTCTATGAAATGTTTTACAGAGGTGCAGCCCTGTAGAGGCAGCTCCGATCAGTTGCTGTAGTAGATGTGAGAATCTGCTGTGTGAATGTAGTGCTTCCAGTGCACATATAGTCTAGTCTACATTCTCCTTTTCATCATGGCTTTCTTCAATAAAATACTGGTAGTACTGGGTGGCATACTCCTGGCTGTTTACTTCTATCCCGGAAAACCAGTGTTTGAACCATGTAAGTATTTCACAACCCTTTTGGATTTATATTACTTCTGTTATAGGTGGCTACTGAAAGACTGCAGGCAATGTTCTCAAATTTGAAAAGTTATTTTGACTTTAAAGTACATATGAACCCTAACTGCATGCTATTTAGTTTGGTAAAGACTAATGTATTATAAATAGGGATGTTCAGATACCAGTTCAGATACCAGTGCCGATACTTGGCATTTTCATGAGAACTACCAGGGTTGCAGCGGTTGCAGCTGGGACCTGGCTCTGGCGCTCCACCACTGTCCTGAAATCATTAGTCTGTATTGTTTTAGAAAAACTGTCACATGACAATAAACAAAAATGTATTTCCTTAAAAATTAAAGCTGCCTCCTAACTTTTGAATTTTTCTATAGTATAGTCATGGAGCTGGAAAAGTATCCATACATGTACTTGTACCGAGTACGGTACTTGGTATCTGAACATCCCTAATTATAAACAATTTTCATTTTTTTTCTTTAGAAAATACTGTTTTCATTTTTATCCTTTATTTGCATCTTAGCACTGCTGATCTGTTCAAGCCTCTTTGCAGCCACTTCCTGTCTACATGCATGTACTAAAGTGATGGCTGCGTGGCATTTCTCAAAGCAAGTTTCCAGATGGTGGCAAAGGTGGAACATACCTGTGCAATAAGCATTGTCACAGTCACTTGTAGTATTCCTTGGAAGGTATGGGATAGGGTAACAACACAGGAGCACAATTGGAAGTCAGAGGCAAAGCATTGCCACCCTATTACAGAGAGTGCTTAAAAAAAGACTTTCATGGAAGGATCAACAGGTATTATTTTATTTAAAACCTCAGGATTTAAAAAGATTGAAAATTACTTTTGAAATCACATAAACAGGTTAAACATTATGTAAAATCAGTCCCATCTGGTTGCTAGACCAGGCTCAGCAGCCTTTTCTCCCCGGGCTCCGGTGATCTAAGGACCCTAATGCAACCTATTAGACGTGAAGACGCCGAGGGACATACCATAGCCGCAGTGGAGTGGAAGAGGTGAGCAGTCACTGCCACAGGACTGAGAATCAGGTGAGTATTTCTTCTTTTTTCACCCATAGGCCAAAATAAGCAGTTAATCCTTGCAGTGCGGGGGTTCCCCACTGCAAGAGTTAACTTTTCAAAATCCTGCAATTCTTCTTTAAAGGAGAACTATGAGGTGAGTGAAAATCAATCCTCATAGTTCGAGCCGACGTGTGCCAATTAAACTGTCACACGTCGGCTCTATAGATTGGGAAGTGAGTGAACGCATACCGTCGCTCGTTCACTTCTCGATCGTCTCCCTGCAGTGAGCAGTGACTGTCAGTCACCTCTCCCCGCAGGGATTACCCCCCTCCCCGCTCTGATCCTCCAGCGCTGGCTGGAGAAATGGACGGGGAGGGCACAGCTGGCTCTGCCTGTAGATAGGCAGAGCCAGCTGTCACTGACACAGCTCCGTGGATCTCGGCAGCATTGTGGGAATCTGTACCGGCTGCTGCGGTCTCAGTATACTGCGAGCTGTAGCTCGCGATATACTGAGCTTTGGGTCACGGGAGGACGCTAGTATATGGCCTCCCGTGTCCCTTAAGAGAACTGTGGGGAAAAACACTTACCCCATAGTTCTCTTTTAAGGGTTTTTTTCTATTAACGGAAATAGAGTTCTAAAAAAAAAATGGATGTCCTTTTACCACTCCAGTTTTGCTGGGATAACTGATATAACTACCAAATAAAATAAAATGTGTATTTTTGGGGATTCCTGGTACATTTGACTATCTACTCCAGGCTTCAAGGACTAAGGGATATAGTTATAAAGCAGTGAATGTGACATTTACCAAATATTTACCATAGGTGAACCAATTGCTGTGATTTAAACTACATCCACCAAGAAGACACACCTGCAGTGAATGTTTGGTGAATTGTACATTCACTGTTAATAAATATATCACATACGGGTCTATTCACTAAGCTGTAAGCTACGGCTAAATCCTTCGGCAGCTTAGTGAATAGACCCCATAGTATTCCTTGAATCCTGCAAACTTGAATAAAAAGTAAGAAGTCTCAGTGAAAGATTAATCAATTCAGCTGCATTCAGCTGCTCATGGGAGGGCATACACTACCTATTTGCTAGCAATAGTTAGATAGCAGGTATAGTTAGCAATAGCAATATTGCTATACAGTAATGAGAAATCTAGCAATAGTTAGGGTAATATAATCAATGAGTGCTTAGGCACAGAAATAGTATGTGGTGTTGCTGTGCACAAGGAGGCTAAAAGGGGATGACATGCATATATTTTGGACCCATACTTTGGCAAGGCATATTGCCAGTAGGGAATTTCAGCCTGTTTGCTCCCCTGCTGAAAAAATGAGTAGTTGATAACGAATGATAATATAATGTGCCGAGCTACTAAACAATCAAAATATAAACACATCAAAACACATCACATGTGGATTGGAGTATCTATCTGGTGTGCGGTCTGCAAGATTTTGGATAGAAGATCACTACTACTATTATTATCATTTTCACCATTCTCATTCGTTTATATGGATCTAAACCCCTTGGATCACTTTTGAACTTTCACTTCCGTGGGACTTTAGTGCACTGATTTTTATGTTTTGATGTGTTTATATTTTGATTGTTTAGTAGCTCAGCACATTATGTTATCATTATTTATTTTGATTATCACGATCAGTAGTGCCTTGTAGCTTGCACTTAGATTTGACTGGCGCAGATCATATTGAGTTGATAACACAGCTAAGTAAAGTTCAAGTTCCCTGCATTTTATGTGAGTGATCCGCCAATCATTTTTCCACCATAAAAGAATGTGAGACTATAAAAATTAAATCCCATGAGAAGAGAGATAAAAGGGTTAGGAGCCAGTAAACCATTAGCTAGAAGAATGTAGGCATATCTATAGGCTGATGATCCTCTCACAGTAAAGTGTAAGCTGTGGTTGGGAGTTTGGAAGTAAGCTTTCCTTGGTTCTGGCAAAGGGGCAAGGAGGTGGAACCTTCACCTGTATGCATATTCCAATTTAGTGGTAAAAGAATGTACTCACTCACCATAGATGGATAAGCAGGCCATACACCTATAGATTATTTGCAGATTTTCTATGGTCAGATGAAAACGTGCAACAGATTCCTCCATCTACGCTAAACTGTGTGGATGGAGGAATCTCCAACTCGGCCAAGGTTCAGTATCTTGCTAGTCGGTCCCGCTGGCTGTCAAAATACCTGAACATTCTGATTGGATGCAGGCATTGTTCAGGTATTTTGAGAGCCAGCGTGGCAAACTAGTAAGAAACTGAAGCTTGGCCCAGTGGGAGATCCCTCCATCCAAACATATTAGTATAGATGGAGGAATCTGTTGCACCTTTTCCATCTGTATATAGAAAATCTGCAGATAATCTATAGGTGCATTGACAGCTTTACCCACTGGCCAACTTCTCCTACCTACCATAGTGATACAATGTATCTGTTCACAATAACATTTACTGTTAACCCTAGCAGGAAATCCATCAGTCAAATAACAGTGGATTTACCATAGACATAGTACAGGTAATAGATGTACATTTTACATATATACAGCAACCCTGTTACTTAGCTACAGTATGTCACAGCTTTAGTTAATTGTTAATTAATGATAGTTAATTGTGTTGACTAGTTTTGATTGCTCTTAGGGTATGATCTTGCTCTTACAGAGTGCCCTATTTGCATATAAACTTGGCTCAGGCAAGGGAAAGTTTGGACCACTGTTTTACATCTGTGTGTATCCTAAGGATGATGTTAGGCAAGAAATATTCCTGTAAGGGATTTTTTTAATTACAAATCACCTTGTAAAAATTACATACTGAACTAATAATCCTTGCATCTTCTTGGTACTGAAGTCTATAAGAAACACTTTCACCTTGACACAAAAGCAGAATGAACTGGGAAAATATTTTCTTGGATTGCAATTGCCATGGTACTGCACATGAGAAACTATTGGAGGGCTTGAAAGTTCAACTGAGAGCTAGAAAAAAGTGCAGAGAGAACCTTTACAGTTGTCCTGCCTTGAAAGTATGTCCCCGTTTACACCTAGGCATTTTTTTGCTCCAAGGCAAGCATGACAAAACACTCAAGACAAGGAATCCCATTCGCTTGTCTTGAGGACGACAAAACAGTCAAGAAAAGGAATCCCATTCGTTTCTATGGCCCCTGTTCACAAAGTTTCCCATTAAAGTCTATGGGACCAAAAAGTGCTCTAATCTGCCAAAAAGTAGCTCATGTACTTTTTCCAGCGACAAAATGCTTGCGATAAAATGCTCAGCTGTGAACTTGGGCCATAGAAATGAATGGGATTCCTTGTTGTGAGCGTTTTGACACGCTCAAGACAAGCAAATGGGATTCCTTGACTTGAATGTTTTGTCACGTTTAGCTTTGAGTGACAAAATGCTTAGGTGTGAACTGAGCCTTACTGTTTTGGGAGGATTGGTGGGTCAATTTCCACTTTAAATGTTTATTTTATGCAAAATAACATTGTAATATTTATTTTTTAGAACTGAACATTTGGGTGAAGAAACTATAATGTGGTAAAATCACTATGCAGCAATTTTAATGCTATGCACCAGAGCGCACGATATAACATGCATCAAAGCTCCTTTTTATAAAGCACAGTAACACACTGTAAATGTGGGCTACCTAATAAAATGCCCCTTAATGATCAAAAATGTGTGTGTTGCAGTGCACTGTGTTTCTGTTTGAACGAGCCCTTACTGGATCCTAGTCCTCATCCTTCTTTTTTAAATTTATTGATAATTCCCCTTCCATGTAATCCCTCAATTAACTGTAATACCTTAATTAAGAAATAAGATTTTTGTTTTATTTAAAGCCAAAGAAAGGCTGATTTAGGTGAAAAGAAAAATGTATACAATAGTTTGAACTGTGACATTAATCACAGCAGAAAAACCCTTGATCCACTTGTGTTAACCATGACATGATGGTTCAAAGTGTTAA